CCCAGGGGAGGGATGGAGTGTAGAGGGCTGGTGCTCCTTCTGTCCCCAGGGGAGGGATGGAGAGGTAGAGGGCTGGTGCTCCTTCTGTTCCCAGTGTGGGCTGTTCCAAGTTTCTGTGTCTACCAGGGTTTCTGTTACTCCTCTGTAGCAAAAAGGAGTAATGGTGGCCCCCCCCTCAGTTATTTTCACTGAAATTTGTTTGTTTATTCATTGTTCTTGCTGTCCTTGTGCGGGAGACTAGTGCTGGGAGCTTCTAGCTGGCTCTCTCTCTCTTGATCATGGTGTATGATTCTTTTAATATGCTACTGAATTTTAATATGCTCCTAATATTTTTGTGGAGGATTTTTGCATCAATATTCATAAGGGATATTAGTTTATAGTTTTCATTTTTTGGTAGTGTCTTTATTTGGTTTCAGTGCTAAGATACTCATGACCTCATAGAATGACTTAAAAAGTTCTTTGCACTTTTTTGTAAGAATTTCAGGAGGATTGGTGTTAATTTTTCTTTAAGTACTTGATATAATTCACCAGTAAAGTCATCTGGTTCCCACCTTCTGTTGTTGTTGGGTGGGTTTTGATTATTGATTTGATCTCCTTACTAGTTATGTCTATTCAGATCTTCTAATTCCTTGTTAGTCAATTTTGGTAGATTGTGCTTTTAAGAATTTATCCAAAATTTTTGGCATAAAATTGTTTGGCATAGTCATTTTTTTTTTTTTTTGGTTGGTTTTTTTAGACAGTCTTGCTCTATCCCCTAGCCTAGAATAAAGTGTCACAACTGTAGCTTACAGCAGCCTCAAATTCCTCAAGTGATCCTCCTGTCTCCGTTTCCTGAGTAGCTGGGACTACAGGGTCATGGCACTACAACTGGATAATTTCTAATATTTTTCTTTTTCCAAGACTGTCTTACTTTGTTGCCCTCGGTAGAGTGCCAGGGCAACATAGCTCACAGTGCCATGGCATCATAGCTCACAGTAACCTCAAACTCTTTGGCTCAAGTGATCCTCTTGCCTCGGCCTTCTGAGTAGCTGGGACTACAGGTGCCCACCAAAACACCCAACTATTTTTAGAGATGAGGGCTCACTCTAGCTCAGGCTGGTCTTGAACTCATGAGCTCAGGCAATCCACCCTCCTCAGCTTCCCAGAGTGCTAGGATTACAGGTGTGAACCACCACACCTGACCTAATTTTTTTTTAATGTAGAGATGAGGTCTTATTATTATTATTATTATTTTTTTTTTTCTTCAAAAAAGTTTATTTTAGAGTGAGAACATGTCACTACCACTTTTAAATCCTGGTGCATTCAAGTAGTCTTGGTACAGGACACAAGTCACAATGTATGTCAAGAATTTTATACTGAGACATATACTTAATATAAAGGCACATTGTACTGCATAAAAAAGTGTTACTAAGTTCTTGAACTTTTAAATTAGAATTTTATAAAGTGCTTTTCATAAAGTCTTATATATTATAGTAATTAAGTGAATATAATTTCCTCAACAAAGGCACCTTGAAATGTTATTGGCACATGGCATTTTTTTCTTGCCTGTTTTGTGTTTTTTATATATATAATTTAAAAGTCTCTTCACAGGTCTTGTCTTCTACTTTGTTTAAATTTTCCATCACCTCAATAGCCAGCCCTTTTAGAGAAAAAGGTGAACTTTTAACTTGGCACTGTTAAGGTCAATTTTTCAGGCAGTCTTAGGAGTTTAGCAATTTCTCTAGTGTATAAACTGATTCTTACTGATTTTTGAAAAATTATATTCGAGTGGCAAATTCCATGATTTGAGATGGTGTTTTTTTTTTAAGTACATGTCTTATCTTCAAGGTTTTCAGATGTTTTCTCAGGATCATTTGGATATAAGTTGATGGCCGTCACAGGTATAACATTCACTTTATCCAACTGAAGAATTCCTTTGTATTCAGAAAGTGGAAAAAGCACCTTTAAAATGGTTATTATCACAGCTGCTCCTGCAATTCCAATCACCATGACGTTCAAAAACATAAAGAATACTGGGAAAACATTGCTCCAGAACCTGCAGAGATCTTTTCTAAACTTTTCCATCCACTGACACATTACCTTATATGAAGATGGAGGCTCTGCTCTGAGAGGAGTTTCAGGTAATTTGCCAGGTAAAGCATCTTCATCTACAGTGGTCTCCACATTCCTG